TAAGTCACAGAATTAGCTTAATAGTTCTGGCTATCTGGCCAAATCAAAGGCAGTGTCTAAATCCATCCAGCATGGCAAAATTATATTCTCTGCACATGAAATCACTGAAACTGAAGCTGAGAGCTATCCTTGACGTGTCTAGCTAGAATCAGCACTGAAATATGTCCTAATTGAATACATCGCAATTATAACAATCTGGAGTAATGATCAAAATTGATCTGAGACAAGCAATAAGCCTCAAACTGCATTTTTAAATGAGTAAGACTGAATTACTTGTGTACTACTGATAAAACAAACAAACAAAAAACTAAGGCTAAGTGTTACAAGATCACCAATTAACACTGAATAGAATAGATAATTTGGAAAGTAACTCTCTAGGTAGGAAGGAGAATAATCTAAAAAAAATATTAAGGCTAAATACTGGGTCAGAGTCACACATAAGAGGCAACAGACAGGCTAGCCAACTGTCAGTACTTATTCAGTCCTAGAAATCTCTAGCACACTCTTTAGTCTCAGTGAAACATTTTACCTGACACCCCCGCAGACTGACAAGGAATGACCTACTCTAAGAAAAGGGGTGGCATGGGGTGCTACAGAACTCAGATCACCTTTCTTTACTACTGGCCTCGCATGAAAGGCTTCTCAGTCTGAACAGTGGTGCTCTAAATGGCAAAACAAATCAAAAACATCTTGGTCATAGTAGGTACTGTGGATGTCTCATGAAATAAGCCATGCCCTACGGCTTATTCTACCCCTTTAAGAACAATCTGAAGTATACTATACAGATTACTGCACTCTTAAAAAGATTTTCCCAAACATGGCTTAAGCTAATTGATGAACATTCATTACTATGCTTTCGGGTCCGGTCCTGCACTGAATGGTCCCAGACATGCTAGTTAGGCTCTGAATATTTGTTCTGTGTCTTATAGATTATCTCTATTATGCTCACCAGGCTGTTATCTGTTTTTTTCTTTTGAGACAGACACAGGCTAACAGTTCCCCATCCTCCTACCCCACCCCCAAATTCACTCCTCTTAACCTCCCACATTACCCACGATTACTTGTTTCTAATCTACTATGGGTTTAGAAGCTAGATAACTTTGTTAGAAACATCTGAAATAAATGCCAACAGGTTCTGATTAAGGGTCTCAATGGCTCTCCTATCACTAGAACTTTAGGTATGGACTTAAGTCAGCTTGGCTGCCCCAGACCTTCTTTGCTTGGTGTTTGCTTCTGAAATGCATTTTACAATAGGTTGAGAATTAAGAGTGTAGGCAATATCGGGATTAGAAAGAGAACCACTGAAAGCTACAACTAGAATACATGGCGCCTGGGTGGCTCAGTTGGTTAAGGGCCCAAATCTTGATCTCAGCTCAGGTCATGATCCCAGGGTTCATGAGCTCAAGCCCACATCAGGCTCTGCGCTATTTGTGTGGAAACTGCTTGGAATTCCCTCTTTCTGCTCCTACCCAACCTGTGCTCACTCGCTTTTCTCAAAATATATAAACTTAAAAAAAAAAAAAAAAGAAAGAAAAAGAAAGCTACAACCAGAAGAGAGCTAGAGATCATCTGGGAGACCCCTACATCTGCGGCAATGTTCTAGGTACTTCAACCACAATCACTGAATCCTCGTAATAACCTGAAGAGACAGGTATCATTACTGCCGTTTTCAGTCAGAAAAACAAGGCTTAGGAGTTAAGCAATTTGCCCAACATAGTAACCAAGAAACCAACTATTAGTGTCTGTCTCTCTGACACCACAACCCCTGGCCATTCCACTACTTGAGACTGCAGCCCAATCCTTATTCTCCATGTAGGTCATTGTCTTTGCACTTTATTTCCAATTTTTTTCACTGGAACGTGTCTGCTTTCTTTCCGGAACGTGCAGGTTTGCTTTCTTTCTCCAGCCAGTTTCTATAACTAAAGGGCAGTAGATAGTCAAACTAAAGCCAAATGATGTTTAGCTCTACAAGTGTTGACCTGTTCAGCAGCAAACGTGTTTCTGAAACACTGGCCACATCCCCACAAAATACAGACTGTTCCCGGTGACGCTACAGTTAACAACCTGACGTCCTCTACAGTAAAGTATGCAATGCTGGCATACTTTAGGGACCTGCTCAGTAACACATCAGCAGCTCCCTCAATTTGTACAATAAAGTGATTTTCTTAGTCTAAAGACTGGAGGACGGGGCACCTGGGTGGCTCACTTGGTTAAGCGTCCGACTTCGGCTCAGGTCATGATCTCACAGTTTGTGAGTTGCAGCCCTGCATCGGGTTCTGTGCTGACAGCTCAGGGCCTGGTGCCTGCTTCAAACTGTGTCTCCCTCTCTCTGCCCCTCCTCCCCACCTCTCTCTCTCTCTCTCAAAAATAAACATTTAAAAAATTTTTTTAAATAAATAAAAAAATAAAGACTGGAGCACAAGGCAGGAGACAGAAGGAGTTTCTACTTTTTTAAATTCCATTAAGGAATGACAGGATAGTTGTTCCCTGTTAGATACTTTATTGCCGAGTCCAAGGCCTGCCACTCAGCAAAGCCTATTTTACTTGTTGAATAAATGCTACTTGTTCAATAAATACAAGTTATTTGTTGAATAGATGTATAATCTCTCCTGAACTGGTTTTGAAATCTTTGGATTTATTTCTCACTTCTAACATACCCTTGCACCACTTAGTGGAAAACAACTTTCATCTTGCAAAAAAACCCAAAAAACTAAAAGCTTAACAATGGTTCCTCTCCTCCCACCAAAAGACAAGGGATCTAAAAGACATGCCCCTCTCCATCCTTTAAAAATGACTCTCTCGTCCCAAGAACATGAATGAGCCCCCATCTGCCAGACTGCACTAAATACAGCTTTTATAAGCATTACAAAAACACCTGTATAAAAAAAAAAAAAAGCTGCTCTAAAACAAGGCTGTTGGAGTCCTAAAGTACAAAACCAAAAGAATAACTAAGGAGGGCATTCAGACGTTTATAAAAGCGAAAACTGAAAATATCACCTAAATATAAAAACTTAATAAACCGGTGTTTGATCAGCAGGCTATGCGGCCATATCTCTCTCCTCAACGTGAACATTATAATAATAGGATTCTAATATTTACAATATGAAAATGAAAAGGAGGCCTTTTGCCATCTTGAAGAATAACCTTTATTCCTATTAAAGAGTGACTGCTGATATATACAAAACCAACCCCAACTACTTAGTTAAAACACATACCCAGCCTGACAAGCCACAAACAACAGGAAATTACCCTGCATGGTTTCTCACAAGACTATTATTACACGAACCTTACAGGTCATGTAGAGATTTGATCACTTTCAGCTAGGCACAAGTTACAACCATGAAAAACCAAACTTTTGCTGAACACCTACAATGTGAAATCACTTTAGAAGACACAACTACAAAGCATAAAAGCAAAGCTCTGAGAGCAATTTCTTACCAAACAAGCCCAGAAATGGAGGTTTCCAATCACACTGATTAAAACTTGCCAATGAACTACTTTAAGCTCAATTTTAACATTAAAGGTACTAAGTGGGCACTTGGACTCAAAATATTCTTATTTATTACCACGACTAATTTTATGGCAAAACTTAAGTAACTTTAAAAATAAAATCAGTGTTACTTTTCAAATTTAATACAAATGTTTGCTAAGTGACCTTCTGGTTGAGAAAACTCCTCCAAAATCCAGTACGGTTTTTTTTTAAGCAAATGTAGAAAAAATCCTCAAACTAGTATAGATTTATGAAATCTACATTATTTCTCCCATCTATTATATTTGCTTCACTTATCCATGTATTTACATTAAAACGCCTCAAACTTCATTTAACTGTTTAACTTACACTTCCATCTAAGAAAAACTTTTTAAAGGGCGTAAAAACTCGATTAGCAAATTATTTTCAGGGCAAACAGCAAACTAATTATCTTATTTGGCTCAAAGAAAAACATCCTTACGATCGGTGATACTTAATCCTTATATGATCCTTATATGATCGATTTTCATATAAAATCAGAAAAAATGAAAAGGAACTAAGATTACAGAATTATGAACAATTCTATAAATTAAAATTTCAAGGAGCACTTTTGAAAGATGTAATTATTCCCAAGTTAAGTCAGCGTGACCATTTATCTAGTAAAAGACACTTTACAAGTGTCATTTCAGAAGTTCAAAGCAGCAAAACTTGGGACACTCCAAACTGTAACAAACAAGACAACGATTCTGATGGAAAATGCTTCCAAGTCCGTTTTACCTGGAGATGCTTTTCTAACTAAAGGTTTAGTTGACGAGAAACCGGTAGTATTCAGCTTTTCAGAGGTCAAGAGGAAGGAACAACATAACCAACCTAGGTATTGTTTTTCTTTTGTTTGGGATCAAAAGGAAACCATAACCGCAAAAAGGTTAAGTAAAAGACCAAAGTACCCAACCGGAGGACAGTATCGCCCAAGAGAGAACAAAACAAAGTTGCAATTTGTAAACCAAGTTTGAAACACGCGAATCAATTAGCGTGCTTTCGAAAGGCGTGTGATAAAAACTAATAGACTCCACTCACAGAGTAACTTTCACAAGTGAATGCAGAAGGATCTCGGCGAGTATCAGCCGTGTGCGTGCTTGTGAGAATACACACAAGCTATTCAGAACTCCGGGACCATAATGGTTAACAAAGGTTACGGGGGGGGGGGGGGAGTGGAAGCAAAGTATCGCACGCTCCTAACACGGCTTGCCAACAACTCCCGAAACCAGAGCTCCGCCCCTCCAGCTTTGAAAATCAGAACCACAAACTACCCAGCGCGTTCACGGCGGAGGGGACGGGCCCCGGGCGGCCCCAGCTCCCGCAGGGGCAGCTCGAGCGTCGACCCCTTCCCCTCCGGCCCGTTCGACCCCGCGCCCCCGCGCCCCGCCACACCCCAGCCCCCGCGGCCACGCGACGCGGCAAGCCCCGCCGACCCGAGCCCGACACAAACACACCCCTAGCCCCGAGGGCCCGCCGGGCACCGCCGCTTTACCTGCGCGCCGAGGCTCCGGGTCCCGCCCCGTCAGAGCCGGGGGTCCGAGACCTTTTGTTCCTTCCTCTTCCGAATGGGATGAGGGGCTGGGAGGGGAGAGGGGAAGGGGCGATTGGAGGCGGAACTGAAAACACTCTCGCGGCCGCCCCGCCCGCCCCGCCCCCCAACCACTGCCCGGCCCGCGGCCCGGCGCGCGGGGAGGGGGCGCGGGCTCGGTCACCGCCCGCCCGCCGGAGAGAGGGGATGGGGACGCGCGTCCCGCCGCCGCCCCTCCTCCCCTCAGGCGCGCGCCCGCCCGCATCCCCCCACCCCTCGGGCCGCCCGGACAGCCCGGCCCTCCCCCGCCGCGCCCGCCGGCCCACCTCCGCTTCCGCCCTGCGCCCTCAGCCGCCGGCCGCAGCGGCGCGGCGCACCCACCTCCGAGCGGCTCGCTCGGCGCTCGCTGGCTGCTGGCTGAGAGCTGCTCCGCCGCCGCGGCCGCGCGGTAGACCCGCCTCCCACCCCGGGCCGCGAGACCCGCCGATTCGCCGGCGCAGCCCCGGGGCTGGCACCCTGCCGCCCGCTGATTGGCGCCCCCGGCCGCCCGTTAGGGCGCGAGGCACGCCGGCCGAGCGCAGCGCTCGGCGCGCACGGAAGACGGGGCGAGCGGAGGAGGGAAGGAAGGAGGCCGAGCGCCCGGGAAGGGTCGGGGCGCGAGCGGGGTTCGGAGAGTCGCGGGCCACTACCTCCCCACCTTCTTTCCCTTTGGCCGCCCCGCCCTCCCGGCCGGACCGGCGGCGCGCGCAGCCAATCAGCGCGCGCGGTGCTCGGGGTGTGAGCCGCGCGTCGGGGGCCTCGAATCGGAAGGGAGACGTCGCTCTCTGATTGGTCCCGCCTCCCCCGTAGAGCGTGAGGCGAGGCGCGGCCGGGCGGGAGGGCTGCCGGGCGGTCGAGGACGAGGCGGGGTGGGACGCCCGCGGTTTCGGTTGACTACGTCTCGGGCGCGCTCCCACGAGGCTCTGGGAAGAGAAGGGGAGGGGAGGGATAAGGAGCAGGTGAAGGGAAGGCACGTAACGCGCCGCGCTGCCGACCATCCGTCCCTCATCGCCTCGGCCCGGGGCCCCTCCCCGGTCTCCTGCCAGCGCCATTGGGTGGGGCCTGTGGGGGCCACCGCCTAGTCCACCTTCCGTACTCAAGCCGGGAGTGGACACGTGCTCATCCCTTGGCGGGCGGGGGGGGGGGGGGTCCGCCGTGGGGACGGAAAGAGATGGGGCAGAAGAGGGGTCCGCAGAAACCCGGGGACCCGACCCACCTTGGGCCCTCCAGGAGGCGAGTGAGTGGGCGGGGTCCTCGTGGTGGTGAACGGGGCGGGGTCCGAGATGTAAATAAGCCCTAGCCAGGGAATTTACGGGCTTTAGGAGCAGGGTAAGGGATACCAGGTGTATTTAAGTAGAACAGGAATCTTGCTGGTCTTCGTTAAAAATGGTGCTAGTAATGCATGATCTGAAAGGTCCTCGCGAAATCTCAAAGATAAGCGCGTAGCACGACGCCCCTTAATTGCTGGGTTATCTTACCTTCCTCTTCAATTCTCCACTGATGAGTCGATGTTTTTAGGCCCCAACTTCGCACATCTGCGATACAAGGCCCTAAGCTGCTGGCTGTCCAAAGCTGGTGGGTGGGTGTCCGCACCCCGGAAATCTTGTCGCTTGTACCCTACGGACGCCCAAGCCTATGCTGGAACACTGAACCCTATTAATTGCATCAAGTATTTATTAAGCACCTATTATGTTTGGCAGGGGGCACCATAGAACTAAAAATGAAAAGAAACAGGTCTTGTTCCGGTAGTGAGTGCCAAAGACAAGACTAGAACTCTGTTTTCTTGGCTCCATGGCCCGCACTCATTCCCCTCAATCCTTACTTCATGGCTTCAATTGGGAGCACAAGACAAAGGAGGAAAACGGCACTAGCAGTACACATCTGTTTTCTACCAGGCCAGATGACCATTTCAAACAGCAAGTCTTCTTGAAACAGACTTTCTTTTCAAAAATGAAAGCTTCCCCGAAGAGAGTACCTCTAAATGGCCATTCTTTGTGTCTTACAGGTTTTCCAGACTTTCAAGCTTTGACAAGTGGAATTCACCTGAAATGATGGCTGTTTAAATATAGTTATGTGGTGATTAAATAAAGTAATAAATATGAACATGAATAGCATAGGGCTTTGAAATTAAAAAAGTCAATAATCGTTGTCATCTCTTCCTTTCTGTTGCCTTCTAAGATGAGCCTACTGAGCAGAAATGCTTCAAAAGTTTGCCTCCAGGGTGGTTTCTACCATTGTCACTTTAGAAGCAACTATATTCACCCCTTTTAAAAATAAGCTTGTGAAGGAGACCCGGGAAGCCAATTGGTGGAGCTGTTCCACCTCCTAAGAGTTCTGTTTCCACTTCCCAGAGACTCCAGGGAGGATAGACTAGGGCAAAGGCTGTTCAATATAAAAGTAAGAAGGCTGTTTTTTGGTTTTTGGTCTTCCTGCTAACACAAGCCAACAGTTTTAATATGAAATAGCTTATAAAAAGCTACCCTGGGTCACACAAATATTTTCTCCTTTGTGATCTGGTTGTGCATTTGGGTGTCCACGTGGATGAGTAGGAGTAGAAACAAAAGGGTGGCTGGGATTCCGGAAGAATCCGCTCCCAATGTGGGAGTTAGGTGCCTTGGGTACATTAATTGAATGGATAATATGCTTGAGGTCTACATTAGACCATCTCTCCAAAGTGTCAGAATTTGGGTTCCTAACTCTTCCCTTTAGGAAGCTTTCCAGGACCTCTAAGATTGAGGAAAGGGGAGGAGGAGCAACCTGACTGCAATGATGTCCCCAAAGGGCTTAGAAATGGGAGCGTGCTTACTGCCCCCTCTGCTAGAAATGTGTCTACGCTAAAGTGGGTCAAGATAGAAACTAAAGGCAGATGGAGCAGAGATTGTCGTGGCAACAATCAATTTGGAAATCCACTGGGGTACCTTAAGACAGACCGATCAGTAAGTCCCTGTTGTATAAATTATGCTGAGTCTTATTTTCATTTGGCTAGACAAGTTTAACCCTTCATTATGCATGACATTTCAAAATCAAAGCAAAATCAATTCAGGGATGCCTAGGTGGCTCGGTTAAGCATCTGACTCTTGGTTTCAGCTCCCATCATGATCTCACGGTCTGTGGGTTAAAGCCCCACATTGGGCTCTGTGCTGATAGCACAGAGCCTGCATGGGATTCTCTTTCCCTCTCTTTCTGCCCCTCTTCTGCTCTCTCTCTCTCTCTCTCTCTCTCAAAATAAATGAACTTAAATCAATCCGGAATCAATTTAAAAGTAGTTAAATGTATTGGAAAGGCACAGAGGAAAGATAGTAATGGTGGTTGCTTCTGGAAAGAGATCCATGGAGTCGTGAGTTGGATAAATTTCATCATTAATTCTTCTGCAGTTTGAATTTTTAAAAAATCTATCCTTTTACTGAGATTTCAAAAGATATAACTCATGTTCCATCTCCTCTCTGATAAATCTGTAAAACCCTTCCTGGTTTCTCCAGCCCAAAGGATATCACTCACCTATGAATTTTCTCTCATAGTCAAAATGATTTACATACCATGACTTTGATTAATGCCTTGATCAGTTAGTTTAGTCTTGAGCAGTTTTTAAACTTCTCATGTGTATGTTTTGTCTCCCCATTTGGATTGTAAATCCCTGAAGGACAAAGACAGCATCTTGTTCTCAGTTGTCTCCCACACTGTAAGATTAAAAAAAAAAAAAACAAAAAACACTAAGTAATTGAAAAAAAGGTGAAATAGAGCATCGTATAGCAGAAATATGCTCTGTGTGGGTCAAGAATCTGCAGACATTCTGCACAGCTTTGCCCCATCTACTGAGGGGCCTTGATACAACTATTGAGTATCCTATCTGCATCCAATCCATATATTCCCTCATCCTGGTGGAACGAAATTGCAGCAAGCATACTACATCTTAAAGAAAGATCCAGTTATTTGCAACTAAAAGGACACCAATCAAGTGAGATAACTTAAGTAGAAATTGCAAAGAACAAAAGTCTGGGGTTACTTTTGTTACAAATGACAATGAAGAAATACAATGTCAGCTGGGTTTTTATCTCAGTAATAATGTTTTAAATGAACTTATGTTGAAGATGTGTACACCTGCCTCTGTGTACACACAGTCATTATTCACGTTAGTTTTTATTAAAAATAATAAAAATTTAACGTCTGATGGAAATGCTGGAGACAATAAAGTATGTGTAAGAGCAAAGAATTAAGTTTGGCATTTATCTGTTATGTGCCTATCATAAAAACATGGTGGAAAATTCTCATTTTACGGCCAAACTTTCTCAAGAAAGGAAGACATTCACTTAGGGATTTTTAGATTTAAAGGGAGAAAGGAATTGAGAAGTTGGCACTGGTTGAGAAAAACATATTTAGTGAAAACTAAAAACATATGTCTCATCATTCTCTAGGCATCTGATAATTAATATTATATTTCTTATCTATACATTTAACAGCATAAATAATCATTGGATCCATTGATTATTAGGTAGCTAATCTAATGATTGCTCAAATATTACTTGGTAAATCATAATACAGTTTTAATGCAATGAGCACGCCCATAAAGGCGTTTAAATATTATTCAAGATCCACGTATTTGGGGAAAAACTAGACAAAGGCCCATGTCTCAATGTGGAAAGAACAATGTACAAATTATTTAAAGTTCTATTGTGAAGAAGGATAATTTGGTAGTCATATGTCAACAATAGGGCCCTATGCCTTGATTATAATTGTCTGTGTGTGACAATATTGACTGAGCCAAGCTGCTGCTAGGCAGGATTAGTGTATGAAGGTATAATGCTCTTGGAAAATTTCAAGCATGTTAGCATAATTGCTCTGACGAAGAATGAAGAGCTTATTTAACATAACTAACGAGAGTAGACAATAGATGCATAATCAGTGTCCTAATGATTGAATTAATGAGCCCCAGTTGTTTGTCCTTACTGTAAACAGTCCTCAGCTATGAAATAGGCATTTTGCTGAAGAAGTCTGACAATTGTGTTAGCTGATGAGTGGCCAGAACATCATTAATGGTGGGAAAGAGCCAACTACTATTGGGCCCTAAAGAGGTCAATGGTGGATTTCAAGGAGTAAATTATATAGCTACCTAGAAGTTTCCTATCAGCTCCTCCTTGCCTTAAAGTATGTATACAGTCATAGAGCCTGATCAATGCTCTTATTTTCAGATAAAGAAACCAAGGCCCAAGCTTCTTCAAAGTCCGATGGCCATTCAGTGCCAGAAATTATACATAGTATCTACCTTGCCTGCTCTGACACTGCCGACTAATTCTTATCCCTGTTCCTGGTCGGTACCCTCCCCCACGCCTTTGCTACTCTCTTCAATTTTCCTGTTCCCATTACCTTCTATGCACATATCCTGACCAACTATTTCACAGTGAAAACAGGGGCACGTTTCCTGTCCCCACCTAAACCCCTAGCACCAGACTATACGTCTGTCTCTAGATTTATCCTTCCAGCCACATCCTGCGAAAACCTGCTCCTCCTTCTGGAAAAAGGCTATTCCTTCTGTTCCCTTGGCCACCTCGCCTAGGTTAGCACATGCCACCCACCCCAAACACGCATCCCAACCACACTCTCCTATCACCTTTTTAAATTTCTCTTCAAAACTCTTCTATCTGGAATTATGTCC